ATATAAATGACATATAATATTTTCATAATAGTTAAAGTCTCTCAACATTTTTATAGAGAAAATTTGACTTATAGAAATTTTGACCGACTTAGAGAAATTTCGGTCCCGACGCAGAGAAATTTTAGAAATTTCATCAAGTGAACTTAACTAATAAAAAAAATATCTTGAACCTCTACTACACAAAGTTGGAAAGGTATATTTCACTAACTTTTTATTTTGTTTAATATTATAAGACATCTTAAACAGTGTTCGAAACTTTTGTTCTCCCATTAAAACCATATATGATATAATTAGGGACGACAGTACAACCAAGGATCCGTGTTCAATTGAACATTTTAGAATTATATATATAATTCAGTTCAAAAATTATGTTGAACACTTTAACCCCCTTTTCTTGACACCTAACCCAATTAAGCCTCCGTTTGGGAAGTGGATTGACTTTTTGGCTTTTTGACTTTTTTGACTATTTTAGCTTGGGCTTAAAAGCTTGGTTTGGGAAGGGCTTTTTAGCTTTTTGACTTTTTAAAGTTTTTTTGTGAGAGAAGAATGTAATGATTATGGATTGGATGTGATGTTTTGTTTGTTATGGCTAAAATAACCTATTTTATTTTTTGTGGCTAAAATAGCCAAAAAAACCCAAACCATGGCTTCCCAAACGAAGCCTAAATACACACGCAATCCACGTCTTGAAGAGCAAGGATCCTCTAGAGTGATTTTTTCCTAAAGTTTCCTAGAGTGCTACATTGTGTGGTTGAGATTTATTGATAAGTCACATCAATTTTTCTGATGTGACTTACCAGTAAATCTCAACCACACAATATAATACTCTAGGAAACTTTAGAGAAATTTCACTCTAGAGGATTCTTGGTGCGTCTTGAACACCCAACCCAACCCAATCCAACCAGTCCAATCCACCATAACCCTTTAACCAATAATATATATGCTTTGTAAAGTATTTATTTCTTAGCTTAAATCTTATGCTTAATTTTGTTCACAATTTATGCAAAATACCTCTTTGACAAAATTATCTATGTATTTATTTCTTAGCTTAAATCTTATGCTTAATTTTGTTCACAATTTATTGATCAGTTAAAAACTTATTTTATAACTTATTGAACAAATCCTCTACAAGAAAAAAAAAAAATCTCATTTTATTTATGTAAATTTTTGTATCTACATTTTATTTTCTGAAAAAGTGATATCAATATATTAGAATTTGGTTTTATTTATTTATGTGTGTGATTTGAGAAGTCTACCCTAAAATTTACTTGTGTATGTAGTTTTTTGGTAGATAATTCGTGATTTAAAAATGCAGTTACACATTTTTATTGTAATACTATGCATTTTTACAGTAATATTACATATTTTGTGATTAAAAATTATTATAAATTACAAAAATGTGTAACTTTATTCTTTAATTACAAATTATTATAATAATTTTATCAAAAGATCAGGTAACATTTATTATAAAAATACGTGTTACAAAATTACATAATATGGTGTGTATATATATAATAAGATTTTCCTTATTAAAAAATGTGGGATGAACAGTTCGGTTAAAAAGACAGTGTCTATCAAAAAATTCACCTGATCTTTTGTTCTCAATTAGAAAAGTCAAATTTTATGTTATTATTTTTGCCAATTACAAAAGAAACATATTTAATAATTTCTCAAACATATAACTAAACAAAAATATTAAAAAGTCAACCCAAACGGCTCACTTATGATCCAAAAACATGGCACAAAACTTGTCTCCAATCCACGGACTGCACCATCTTGTTTGGGAATGTGGGTCCATCATGAGTTCTATCTTGATAATTTAAATTTTTATTTTTTAATTCATAACGTGTAGATCATTTATAAATAAATAAAAAAGAAAAATAAAAAATTAAGTCGATCCGATAATCATATTCACGTTAATTTATTATATTTGTTTTTTGAAAAATAAATAGTGTAATTTTCAAATAATATTTATGGTCCATTTTTTTATAAATGAATGTCACAAACTAATGTGGCTATGGTCATCGGATTGACCTAATTTTTTTTTTTCATGAATAATTTATATGTGGTTTAAAAAATAAATGATTTGGATGGTTCATTTTTGACCCTTGGTGTACCCGAAGGGTCCAAACAGCACGGTCCAGTCCACAGTTGTGCCCCAAAAAACACATCTGGTAGGAAATTATTTCCAAATCATGCCAAGGTTTCTATGTTAATAATTTGTAATATATTTTTAAACAAAAGCATGACAATTAGTTTGTATCAGCGAAGTCATGGGTACAAGAGAACTGGAAGAAGGAGCAGCTGATCATGTCTCCATTAGTATTACAGATAAGTTTGATAATTTATCTAATCCATCATCCTGAATGTTGTATCTTCAGAATGTATGATCACTTACGAAAGGAAAATGAGAAAGCCTATGAACCATCAATAGTTGCTATTGGTCCTTACCATCATGGTAAACCAAACCTACAAGAAATGGAACTTCACAAATTTTGTACCTACAAAGGTTTCTGAGTCGTAGAAATGAGAAGAATGTGAATAGATATGTCATGGCCATAAGAGGATTGGAAGGCAGAGCACGCAAATGTTATGCCGAAGCCTATAGCTCTGGCCTTGACCTTGATTCAGATCAGTTTGTGGAAATGACGCTTCTGGACGGTTTCTTTATCATTGAGTTATTTTGCAAGTCTATGATGCAGGAATTGATAGATGAAAATGACCATATTTTCCAATCATCGAGTAATAGCGATTCAAACTTGGAAATCATTCCAATAGCCATAGAGTTTCTAAAATTTAACGTACCAAACAGAGAAATGGAAGCCAAGGGAAATGACCATATTTTCCAATCATCGAGTAATAGCGATTCAAACTTGGAAATCATTCCAATAGCCATAGAGTTTCTAAAATTTAACGTACCAAACAGAGAAATGGAAGCCAAGGGAAATGACCATATTTTCCAATCATCGAGTAATAGCGATTCAAACTTGGAAATCATTCCAATAGCCATAGAGTTTCTAAAATTTAACGTACCAAACAGAGAAATGGAAGCAATAAGATTTTTCTTATTAAAAAATGTGGGATGAACAGTTCGGTTAAAAAGACTGTCTATCAAAAAATTCACCTGATCTTTTGTTCTCAATTAGAAAAGTCAAATTTTATGTTATTATTTTTGCCAATTACAAAAGAAACATATTTAATAATTTCTCAAACATATAACTAAACAAAAATATTAAAAAAGTCAACCCAAACGGCTCACTTATGATCCAAAAACATGGCACAAACTTGTCTCCAATCCACAGACTGCACCATGTTGTTTGGGAATGTGGTCCATCATGAGTTCTATCTTGATAATTTAAATTTTTATTTTTTAATTTATAACGTGTAGATTATTTATAAATAAATAAAAAAGAAAAATAAAAAATTAAGTCGATCCGATAATAGTATTCACGTTAATTTATTATATTTGTTTTTTGAAAAATAAATAGTGTAATTTTCAAATAATATTTATGGTCCATTTTTTTATAAATGAATGTCACAAACTAATGTGGCTATGGTCATCGGATTGACCTAATTTTTTTTTTTCATGAATAATTTATATGTGGTTTAAAAAATAAATGATTTGGATGGTTCATTTTTGACCCTTGGTGTACCCGAAGGGTCCAAACAGCACGGTCCAGTCCACAGTTGTGCCCCAAAAAACACATTTGGTAGGAAATTATTTCCAAATCAGGCCAAGGTTTCTATGTTAATAATTTATAATATATTTTTAAACAAAAGCATGACAATTAGTTTGTATCAGCGAAGTCATGGGTACAAGAGAAATGGAAGAAGGAGCAGCTGATCATGTCTCCATTAGTATTACAGATGAGTTTGATAATTTATCTAATCCATCATCCTGAATGTTGTATCTTCAGAATGTATGATCACTTACGAAAGGAAAATGAGAAAGCCTATGAACGATCAATAGTTGCTATTGGTCCTTACACTATGCTTGGATTGAGTGATTTGAAGAGAAAAGAAAAGAAATGGAGTGATATGTATTTCTCTTATTTGTTTAGATAACTTAAGTAGAGAGAAATGGGAAGAAATAGAGAGAAATATAGAGAAACTCATTTCTCTTATAAGTCTCATTTTTAATCTTCCCAAAAGTAGAGAGATTGGGAGAGAAAAGAAATCACTATTTTCATAATACCAATTTTGTCCCTATAAAAATAAAAGAAATAAAATGATTGAAAATATAAAAATGTTATTTTGGTAATATAACAGAAAATAATTTCTTTTCTTTTTTTTTAATGAAATCTAACCAAACAAGAATGAGAGAAATCACAATCATTTATTTTCTTTTACTTCTTCGTTATCCAAACAAAAAGGAGAGAAATCACAATCATTTCATTTCTTTTCTTTTCTTTTATTACTTAAGTAATCCTTTCTTTTCTTTTCTTTTCTCTCCTAAGTTCCCAAACATAGTGTTAAAGCCTATGAACCATCAATAGTTGCTATTGGTCCTTACCATCATGGTAAACCAAACCTACAAGAAATGGAACTTCACAAATTTTGTACCTACAAAGGTTTCTGAGTCGTAGAAATGAGACGAATGTGAATAGATATGTCATGGCCATAAGAGGATTGGAAGGCAGAGCACGCAAATGTTATGCCGAAACCTATAGCTCTGGCCTTGACCTTGATTCAGATCAGTTTGTGGAAATGACGCTTCTGGACGGTTTCTTTATCATTGAGTTATTTTGCAAGTCTATGATGCAGGAATTGATAGATGAAAATGACCATATTTTCCAATCATCGAGTAATAGCGATTCAAACTTGGAAATCATTCCAATAGCCATGGAGTTTCTAAAATTTAACGTACCAAACAGAGAAATGGAAGCTCATAGTGGGATTTCAATCGACAACATCAAACATTTACTTGACCTAGTACATGATTGTTGGTGCTTTGCTTTGAGTTTGCTTAGATGGATAAAAATGTAAAGGAATGAAAGTTCATGGATTCTGCCACAGAGCTTCAGGAGTCTGGGGTTCAATTTAAGAAGGCCAAGGGAAGCAACTTGTTTGATATAAAATTCATTAGTGGCACATTGGAAATCCCACAATTATGCATCGAAGAAGAAACAGAGTCTTTCTTGACAAATCTAGTTGCATTCGAGCTGTGTTCTTCGTACTGTAAGCCACCGTATGTTTGTGAGTATATGGTCTTCATGAATTCCCTCATCAATTCCTCCAAGGATGTTCGTTTACTTCGTCGTGGTGGAATTATTGAAAGTTGGGTAGGTGATGATGAACATCTCTACACCATGTGCCACAAGTTGTTCAAAATCACCCTAACAAATCCCCAAATATTTGGTTACTCTCAAGTTTTCAATGATGTGGACTACTATTGTAAGCGACGCCGAAATGTGTGGATGGAAAACTTAAGGCGGAATTACTTCAACAGTCCATGGGCATTCATTTCATTTCTTGCCGCTGTCATACTGCTTCCGCTTACCGTGGCACAACTATCTTTTCCGTTCTTTCTTTTCGGAAAGACAGCTTTTGAGTCCCTATTATTGTTTTATTAATTCAGTGCGTTAAATTTAAATGAACAAAAATGTTATATGCTACTTGATGTTTTTTTTTTTAATCGTTTACTGTATTTTATATTTCTAAAGTTTCTACAAATGTAATTTAGTCAGCTCACGAGTTGGCAAAAATTGCAAATGTTATTTAATGATATATATATATATATATATGTGTGTGTGTATGTGTTTGTATATGTATATGTTTCTTTCTCAAAAAAAACTAAAATAAATAAATATTGCACTCTATAAAGATATAAAAAAATTTATGGTACACACCTATGCACTTTTGGTTAGGACCATTATGGTCTTTGGTTATAAATTTAGTTATGACTCACTTATGATATTAGTTATAAGTTTAATTATAACTCATATTTTTTTCTTTTTTTAGTTATGACATTTGAAAGGTTGTCTACTAACTCTGTGCAGAGTATTTGCAGGGCTATGCTTGTTATTGTGGTTGGGGTTGTATTGTTGGGCTTGTTTGCTGTTTGCCTTTATTTTTAGTGGGTTTCTCACCAATCTTTAATGGTGTGCTAGTAAGTGATTGAGTATGCATATCGATGATTGTTTTGCATCGTTGTAATGCTCTTTGCACTCATCCTTTCTCTTTATTGGATGTAATATTTCTGATTTTTTCTTCAATAAAGACTCTTTTCTTTCGTTGATAAAAAAAAATATTGTAATCAATCAAGTCGATGTATAGAAAAATTATAAAGCAATTTAGATGTCAACTAATCTTCTCCAAACTCATTTTGTTTCTCCCCAAACCCTACATAATTATAATTTAAGTGCTTAGGATGACTTGAAAACCAATTCCATATAAAACCCGAGTTTAGACGACTCCTCAGAATTCATAAAATTGTTTCCCTTCTCTCGAGTTATGAAAATCCAAAGAGTTTCTGTGATATTGATAGCTCGAATGGTTACGCAACGCACGACACAACAATGTAACTAGTTCACGAATCTCTGAATGTTCGTACCCAAGAACTAAACACTCTCTATCCAACTCTAATAGTAATTCTGACTCAACTTGAACTTCTAAAATAATTACATTTCAAATTAAAACAATAATGATTTAACTAGATTTTCGTTCAAAGGATTGTCAACCTAATTGAAAAATCTTAAAATCCCAAGATATTGATTTGTGATTATGTTTCAATTTTAAACAATAAATGATAATCACAATTAAAGACAAATTGACACAACGATTTAACATGAAAAAATCACAATCGGAGTGCCTCCTATTGTGATAAAAATAAAAATAAAAAAAAACTATGAGTCAAAGCTACAAAACCATCCACAAAGAAGACAAAAGGAATTATACAAGTGTACCCTGAATTACCTAGCGAAGCCACGCCCAAATTGAACTGACCTCTATATGTCTCTTCCACCACCGTCTTCACCTCAGAATTATCTTGCCTAATGTTGAATTTACAACGCTAATGTCGAATCCTCGATGATGAGCCACTCCAGAATCCACCAAAGCTTCAAGCCCAAGTTTCCCGGAATCCACCGAAGAACAACTCTCTCTTTTGTGAATAAAAGAAAATAAACAAACTTTTGATGATGTTGATATGAAGTTCACGAATCCATTTATCACTCTTAAATCATCAAGGAAACACTCATAAAGCACCCTCCAATATAAAATACTTTGTATCTTATTTCTCTCTGAAAATCTGAATGGCTCAAACCCTAGAAACAACAAATAGTAAACTAAATCGTGAAAACCGCTCGAGCGCATATTTCACCACTCCAGTGGTGTGAGTAAAGGCGGTGCAAAACATGTAGGCTGACCACTCAAGTGCAACTTTCACCACTCGAGCAGTAAAACTTTCTTCCCAGAAATTCAGGCGTTCTGCAAAAATACTGGATAATCCTTTTCTTTGCTCGAGCACACAAATGACCACTCAAGCGGTCAAACAACTTTGACTACATTTTTTGCTTTTAATTCGGGGGTGCTACCTTTCGACCCCACCTGGGCGTTGCCCCCTGACCCTGTGAGCTGATCGGGCAGCTCGATTTCCGTATATAGTTAGCGATGTAGCAAACATGAAAGGATTGAGATCTTAAACTCTTCTGCATAAACACAATTCGGGTTGAATTTGCATCTAAACACTGATAGCTTCACTATAACAAATGAGCGAATAAAATTACAACTAAAAAGAGTTTTGTCAAACGAGATTGCCAATTACAAAAACCTAACACTAATATAGAATCCAGACATTAACAATCTCCCTTCTTTGACAATTCCAAGACAAAACCTAACCAAGAAAATACTCTTAAAAGCCACAAAACAATGATCATCTTCTTTGGAGCTAGAGAGAAAGCTCAAAGAACGTATGTGAATTTCTTGAAGCTCCGATCAGATCCAATTCATTCACATTCCATAGATCTAGAATTAAAAATTAAAATCAAAACTAGCAATTAAGAACAATACTAAGTATTCCCATTGTAATGCACCCTGATCAACCATTTTTTTATATTTAGTCAAATGTTTTGAACAAGTATCCAATACTATATCACCACTAACAGCAACAATATCCCAGAAACTTATAATAAGAACTGAAACTGAACAGATTTTGTTGGACTTAGATGTCTTGATTTGTTTGGGACAACAGATTTTGTTGCACATGCCGTTGTGGCCATTTTGAGCTAGTGCAAAACAAGAAGTGTCATATAAGATCACTACTAAAAATAGCATTTTTTGAAACCGCTAAAAGCCGTTGCAAATAATAGAAATATAATCACAAAAGACCTTTTGAGAAGGCCTATGCGACGACAAATGGAGGACACGAATGTAGGCGTGGCAAATACTTTTTGCAACCGCAAAATCATAGTCACAAAGTATTTGCGACTGCCTAATCTACTTATGGCTACTGCTATTTTGCCGTCGCAAAAAAAAAAAAAAAAAAAAAAAAAAAAAAAAAAAAAAAAAAAAAAAAAAAAAACAAACAAACAAACAAACAAACAAACAAACAAAAACAGTGAACATAGTACCAGAAGTGGCTTTTGATGTAAACTTTCATTGCCCAATAATAAGGAGTTTCTGAAAGAATCCTGTAAAAGTTTTCCACCTCTCAATCATGTAGGCAACAATACTGATTCCAACAGTCCTTGCAATTACCCAGCCTAACACATTAAAAACTAATATATAGAAACAAGAAACAGACACTCCTTTATAGTCTTCTTACATAGTCTGGAAGAAGAGCAGCAACTCTTGAGATTTTGTTTTAACTTTCTAAAGAGTAGCTCCATAGTATGTAAAAAACTAGAGAAGAAATCTTGCTATCTGAAGTAATCACTCCATTACTCAACTAGATACTCACCTTCAATGTCACACCTCATACAGCTTCATAAATTGGAAGTGATTTAGGAAACTTCCCACAAATTATAGATATCTTCTGGTTTCATCAACTGTTCTCTGCAAATAGCAAAGTTCAAACTATCAATATGAAAACTCTGCCTTGTGTCATTTAGCCATATAAGTGGATACTAATATAGGGAAGAAAACAACCAGTATAGTAGTAACCTCATACATCCAAGCAGACAAGTGTGTGTGCGTATGTGTGTGTGTGTGTCAATATATGCCTACAAAAAAAAAAAAAAAGTTAAGCATGCACAAAGTATTTTGACTACAAACAATCTTGAGCTTAATGAAAGACTCCAACAAGTTGGTGATTATCATCTTTTCCATTTTTTTTTATCATAGTTGAATGCTTCACAATTTCAAGAAGAATAGATTGCCTCCTTCGTATCTCAATTTTTAGTTGCTGCCAAAATAAATCATATACTCAGAGTGTGAATAATTTGGTTACTTTGGTAGTTTTTTTACAATAGTGTTGGATAGGTTGTATCAGGACTCCCGTTCTGATTACCTCCCAAGGCAAAAGAAATGCAGCAATGAGATATGTTCATCAGTAGGTTGCAAGATTTAAACAAGTTGGTGTTCAACCTTCAAAAAGATTCAAATGAGCATCAGCTGTCAGGTGAGGAATACTTTTCAAAAAGTATGCCCATAGCCAGAGGGCTATAGGCCAATAAGCTCACCCTAAAAAAGGTCTAATAGTGAGAAAGAGAAAACAACATACTACTAAAATTATAAAGCACCATTACTAATCAATATACCTCTCATGATAACAACATTCAGCCAACCCACAATCAAAATTTCAACAAAGCAAGTTAGATGCATTCTAGAACAAAGAAAATGAGTTATAAATTAGCCTCAACTTGCAGATAGCACATGCACACACACACCAATGATGGGTTGCTAATTTCTGACCCAGAATTGGCCATATAATACCTGCAAAGATACTATCTTAGGGAAAGCACAATACATCATAACTAATGGGTATTCTGAAACAAAGTATTCAGCTTTGAAAACCAAGCATGTTACTCTCTGCCTGTGACACACACACACTCAACACTCTATTCCATTTCGGAATAGCCAAGTCTTTGGGAAATTATTATTGAATATGATGAAGTTCATAGAGTATTAAACAATAATGCAAGAAAAAATCAATTAGATACTCGACAAGAAACAAACCCTAGGAGCAGATTCAAATCACAAAATAAGAAGAAACAAAGGAAGATAGAAATAGAGAGAAGAACTTTTGAGAAAGAGTACCTTAAACTCAATCAAAACCCTAGGTGTGGATTCAAACCTGAAAACAAGAAGAAACAGAGAAAGAAACTTAAGAGAGAGAGAGAGAGAGAGAGATAGCATACCTTCAATGATCGAGTTCGAAAGAATAGGGAAAAGCTAATTGTGTTTTTAGAATATATATACAAGAAACAGAGAGAGCACAAGATTGAGAAGGACATCAAGGAGAGAAAGAGAGAGAGAATGAGATTGAGGGACATAGAGAGAGTGGGATCAAAAGAAGAAAGAAGTGAGAGAATGAGATTGAAAGATTCATACCAATGTGAGACCGAGAGAGAGAGAGAGAGAGAATGCGTACGAGAGATAATGATTAGTGTTTGTGAAGAGTTAGGGCAAATAT